TTACACAAATAAATATGTCAATGTAAAAATTAAATTTCGTAACCTAAAAATTTGATAAACTTATCAAAAGTATTTGTATTATCAATGATGTAGAAAATTAAAAAAAAATCAAAATAAATACCCTACATATATATAATGTATAACACTTTAAATGAAAAATTCAGTAAGTCTTAAATTTCCTTTTCTGACATAATCTAATAGTTGCAAATAGTTTTCTCTTTCTGAAAATTTAATAAATTTTTGTTTTGTTCTTTTTCTATTTTGTATTTTTGCTTTTTTTTTTTTTGAAATCATAAAAAATTTGAAAAACGAAAATTATTTTTGTTATCATTTTTGTGTCGGCAAACATCGACAAAAATTTCATTACAATTCAATTTCAAATTCATTTCACGCTCTCTATCTCTCTCCCTCTCTCTCTCTTTCTCTCGTTCTATCTCTCTATCTCCTTCTGTTTTTGCATATTTTTTTCTTCAATATTGATGACAGCAATGCTTACAATTTTTTTTTTCTCTCTTTCATATTTTAATATTGCATACATCAACAAACTCTTCATAAACAGTATATAAGTATTATACAGTTGTATATTAGATTTTGTATTTGTATAAAAATTTTGTATATGAATGTCGTTAGTTATGTAAGTTGACATTAGAATCTGTCAAAAGCATTGTAAAATTTCATTCTTTTTGTAACAAAAAAAAAAAATTAAAATTAAAATTGTTGCAATATTAAATTTTTTTTTTTGTTCTATTTTGGTTTTTTTTTTTTTTATTTTCGCAAGTGAATTATTTTATGCTTGGGTTAACCCTTTTTACCATAATTCTTTCTAAAAATGCATAAAATGTAAAATTGTATTTGTTTTCATATGCATTTTATATTAGGTATACATGTATGTATGTGAATGAATAAATCAAATTGCTCACTCGCACACTCGTATAAATGTTGCATATCTTAAGTTTTTGAAATTTAGAAGACAGAATTTGAATTTCTTAAACTTTAAGAAATTCAAATTCTGTGATTCTCTTAATAATTTTTATTCGTTTTTGCTCTGTTATTAATTTCTTGATGAAATTTTACTTTAAACTTCAATAGGATTTTATATATTCTAGAGAGTCGAAACCAGCTTCAAACACCTATAGTTAGTGTTTTTGATTAGAAACATAAGGTTGTAGCAGTCTTTCTATTTCCTAATTCATTTTCGAATTCATTATGAACGTCAAAGAGTTTTAAAGACTCTCAATTCAATTATTGGTCAATTAACACAATATACCTTATCTGCAAATCAAACGTTCTTCCAGAACTTAACTGAACAGCCGTGAGTTATATACCGAAATACTGGAGAACTAATCGCTGAAATACAACTTATTTAAGAACTTTAGATTAGTCGTGAGCTAAGCTGTAAAAAAATTTTTATTCTAGATGAAAATATTTCGATGAAGAAGTGAAATTAACATTCGCCACAACTATTCTATATTTATTCGGCAATCATAAAAATTTATTTGTGTACTGGTCGAAATTTCTGATACAACCGCCAATTTAATGAAAATAACACATAAAAAATTTATGTCCCGTGATAATTAATTATAGTTTACCGTCTAATCTAAAATTTTTGTAACTTTTGTCCAAAAACCTATTAAGCAACAAATTTGTCTAATCGCCATACTTAAATGCTTACAACATATAAAATTTTAATTGTTAATTGTAACAAAATGAGAAATATTTTAATGAGAAAATTGAAAAATTAAATAAAATTAAGAGAGTCATGCATATCAAGTTAACAAAATAAAGAAATTTAAATATTCAAAATCTCTTATAAATATATAACAGTTATAAGACTCTCTGAATAATTTGAACTGACAAAGCATCAAAGTGAGAGGATTTTGTTACATTACCGATCATTCTTTGTACACTCATTGTGCTGCCGTTTTCCTTAAAAAATAGTAATAATTTTTTTTTTTGTGATATTTTTTTTTGTTTTATTTTATTTTTTTTTTTAATTTTCATTTTGACCTAGTTAAAAGATTTCCGGTTGTTTGAAATTTATGTTATGTTAACTGTTATATGAATGTCAAAGGACTTGTTAATTTTTTAATAACCAAAACAAAAAGAGAAAGAATCATATCTTGTGTTTTTGAGAAAAAAAAACAGAAAAAGAGAAGAGGAAAAGAAGAGAAAAAAAAACTAAAAAATTAAAATTTCGACACTAAACTAGAAATGTGTAGAAATTTTTTTCTTTCTCTTTGTTTTTCTCTGTTTTTTTGTGTTCTGAGAGCGAAATTTCATGTTGCATTTAAAAAGTTCTTTGCATTTTTATTTTTGTTTTTGTTTTACAAAAAGAAAACATTAAAAAGAAAATAAATTTTGTTGCAAAATTTTTTTTTCTCTTTTTATTCGTTTTGTTTTCGTTTTGTAATTTCATTTGAAAGAAAAAGAAAAAAAATAATAACTGTGCTTCTCTTTGAAAAATAAAAATTATTTTGTAGCTTTGCAAGATTTTATTTTTACTTTTGTGTTGTTGCTTTTTTTTTTTTTTTGAAAAATCATAATTTATGCAGCATACGTAAAACTCAAAGCTATGCAATGTACATGCTCTTAACCCTTTCAGGAATTTTCTTACCACATAGTAAAAAATTTTGAAATTCGTACTTTTCATTCATATTTCTTAGATTTTTATTAAATATATGAGAGATGATTGCTTAGTAACAGCTTTTTATAATAGCAAAATAAACATCACTTATTCGACAGTAACTGTAACTAAAACCATCACCATTTATAGATGAAAAGGGAAGAGATAGGGAAAATTTAAATAGAAAGTTAATAGAAAGCGCTATATAAACTAGAAATAAATTAAACAAAATCAGTGCTACTATATGAGTTGGCCGTGAGGCACCCTCTTACTCATGCTGGTACAAAAAACAGACGAATGCAAATTAATTTCGTGCAACATACGCGACACTGGGTCCATAATGCGTACTATGACGTGGAACATTGAAAAGCTTGACTAAGATTCTCTCTGTAACCGAGGCAACCACATTACCCACCATAAGTTAATGAATGAAAACTATATCGGAAACCACCCCATGAAAACAAAGCGGCCTTAAGTCTAAAAACAGAACTCAATTAAAAGACTTACCGAATAGAACTGTAGAAGTGGAATTTCTAATAATCGTAATATAATTAATTTTTAATTTTTTGCACTAAAGGGGTTAAATATTTCCTTTCTATATACTTATATAAACTAGGAAATATTTAAAAAAGAAAAAATTTAAAAACTGTAGTAGCAATATTTTAAATAAATTATGTGTGTACGTGTGAATGTACATAAAATAGACCACAGAATAAATGATTGAAATGTGAGCACATAATAAATAAAATATTTTTTTGTTATACTTTAATATAGTTTAGTTAAGTTCATATTAGCAGTTCAGTCAAACAATTCTTAAAGTATTAAACGAAATGGAACAGAATTGGTAATTGCTAAAACTTGTTTTGAATTTATCGAAGAGCTTTCCTTATCAAAATTCTTAGGAAAAATTAGAATATAAACCTAATATTAAAAAGCATGCATTATAGTAGACGTCGAACCAGGCCATATCCAACTTGATCGTTTCTGAGAAAACTGACATGTGATTATTTCTTATTGGAATTGTTATTTTCAATATATTGTTGAATTCTTATTAGAAATAAATTTTTAATTATTAAGCCTTTATCAAAATTTTAATATTCTTATAAATTTAACTAGAAAATTTTCTTAATTTTCCCCCCTTCCCATTCTCATGTCGACCCTTATGATCTTTTGTGTGTCCCGTCCCCATTTACATCAACCTTTTACCCAGACCCCTGACAAACCGCAATACAGCAGCCACGTCAAGCTGGGAGACCCTCCGCGGGAGTTACAAAGCCTAATCCGAAACATTTCAGTCGCAGGCGAGCAACCGCCTCACGTTCACACAATAAATGCTCCATCGTTTTGACCTCTTCCAGGCACAAATGACACTTTCCGTTTCCTGTCCTGCCCATCCTTTTTAGATAAACCAACGAGAGGCGGTGCACAGTGAAATTTGCTATCTTACCTCTTTGCCACATATTAATTTTATTTTAGAATTAGGCATTTTGTTGTTTTTACTTGGTATTGAATTCTCCCTAAAATATGCAAGTGTATGTATACCTGAATACTTGTGAACCTTCAGTTTTTTTTAATTGAAGAGAAAACAAATTATGAAAATAAAGAGCAACAATATAAATGCCCCAAGAATGTAACCAAAGTCAGAAAAACAAAAAAAAATTAAAAATCAAATTAATTTAATGACGTGCAATACGCCCTATATAAAATATTTACTCAACCCTAAATAAAAAATTTCGTAATTAAAATACTCAAGTAGATTTCTCAAGTATTTAAAAAGAGCACATTTCCTGTACTAATTTTAGAGGCTAATTATATATTATGCATGTAAATCATAAATGCTTGAACTTCTCATTGTTGCGTATTATTCGAAATTGTTTGGCTAATTGAGAATTTAAAAAAAAAAAAAACTTTACTAATTCCTGCCAATTTTCAACAAATTTTTTGTTTTCCTCTTGTTTTTTTTTTAATAAATAGAATGTTATTTAGCTAATTACTTTGACCTTTATAATATGCATGTGTGTATGTGTACGTATACGACTGCAGCAATTTCAGCTCATGCATAATTTATTCAAATACTTTTTTTTTTATAAACACATAATTTTTGTTTCATTTTTCATTATTTTGGAAAAACAAAAAAAAAATTTTAATTTTATTTTGATTTTGTTTTTTTTTTCTGAATTGCTTGCTTTATGGTACAAAATTTTGGATTATTTAATAAAAAAAAAAAATTTTTTTTTGTTCTATTTCTTTTCGTTTCTGCTGTTTTTGTTTTCTTTCCTTTTCTTTCCCTTTTCTCTCTCCCTTATATCTTTGTATTCCATTTCAATTTCATTACAGTTAATAATTGTATAAAATCTTTATTCTATTCTTGGAACAGATCCAGAGGAGCAAAAATACAAAATTAAAAATTGCAAAAACAAAAAAGAAAATCACAAAATACGAAAATGGTAAACGGAAGCAGGTCAGCACAAATTGTAAATAATTATAACGGATACGGAAATAATTTAAATAAATGAAAATAAAAAAAAAAGAGAAAAAATAAAGAGAAAAAACAAAACAATAAGTTGCGACGATTTTTGCTCTCATTTTTTGCTCTTTCTCTCTCTGTAAAGAATTTGATTATATGGTGAAAAACAAAACAAAACAATAAACACTAATAAGAACAGCAAAATCCAATTGTGTTCAACAATGGAAGTGAGAGATCCTCAATATGATGAAAAACAAAAGTCAACAAGAAAAAAAAAAAAAATTAAAAGGAATATTGAAAAAATTTAGGCTCACTTGAAGAATACCTAAAACACAGAGAAATCAAATGGCAGCGAAAAATGAAAAATCCTTTTTCCTTCATTTCTCAAGAATTGAGAAACCTTTTTAATATGACAATTTTTAATGCTCCTTTTTTTAGGGTAACAGTATTAAAAATAAAATATTTTGCTTTTTTTTTGTTTTGTTTTCATTTTTTCACTTTGTGAATGCGTTCGTGTGCGTTACACAATAAACAAAGCATTGTTAATATATGGAAATCGTAAGAAGGATTAGGGATACAAAAAAAAGGAAAATGTATTCAAGAATAATAAAAAAAAATGTAAATATAATGAAGAAAACCATTCAATGAAATTGCATGTCTGAACAATTTATTGTACAAGAACATATATATATATATGTGTTATATACATATATATATATATACATTATATACATATATATAACACATATATACATATATATGTGTTATATATATGTATATAATGTATATATATATATATACATTATATACATATATATAAAACATATATATATTTATATGTTATATATACATATACATACATATATATTATATATTATATATATATATATATATATATATATATATATGATATATATATAACATATATATAACATATATATATATAACATAACATAATATATATATAACACATATATATATTATTATATTATACACATATTATATATATATATCGATAGTTTAACATAACATAATATATATATATATATTATATATATATATATATGTTCTGTATATATATATATATATATATATATATATATATATATATATATATATAATATATCGATAGTTTCCATTAATATGAAAACATGTGCGAATTGTATGGCTGCTCTTTTTCATTTCGAATACATGAATTTATTCTTGGATATACGAAAAGTAACTGCATTGTATGAAATTTCAATACAAACAAAGAGTTAATGGCAAATAATTTGAGAGCAGCCAGGATTGTAAAAATAAAATTGCTCTAAAATTTTGTTCATATTTTTTTTAGTTTCTCTTTTTGTTTTTTTTCTTTGTTTTTCTATTTAATTTTTGTTAGCATTTTTTCGAATAAAAAAAAAAAATATAATAAAAATTATTGTTGAGAAAAGAATAAATATAGAGAAGAAGAAAAAAAAATATAAATAAAAAAAAAATTTAATTAATTGAGAAAAAAAGAAAAGGAAAAGTGTATAAAATAGAGAAAATTCAATAGTAAGTTAAAATACCATTTAATATTTATAATTAGGGCTATTATCGAAAAAAATAAAGAATTATATATATATATATATATAGATAAAATTATATATATATATATAATTTAAAATAACAATCGATCTTAAAATAAAAAAAAATAAAAAAAAAAATAAAATAATAAATTTAAAAAAATTGCATATTTTTAGGTAACAAAAAAAATTTAAATAATTAATTAAAAAATATATATATATATATAGAAATTGAAAAAAAAAAGTTTTAAAAACCAAAAAAAAAAAAAAAAAAAATAACCAGTATTACAGTTCAGATCAGACAAAATAAAAAAAAAAATTTTTTTTTTTAAATTCTTATAGAAAATTAAAAATTCTAATTGATTGGCAACTCTTCTCTTACGTAAATTTATTTTTGACCATACCTAGACTTATTTAATTAATTTTTATTTATAATTAATAATATTAAAATGTGCCGCTTTTGACTAGGTTTTCGAATAATTTCTTTGACCCGTCTATATTTTATATTTCTGGTGCCATTCCATAAATACGATCTATACGTTGTCCGCCGCCTGTCCGTCTACCAATCCGTCTTTTTTTAAAATGATGATTTGTGAATGCAAAGATAATGCTAAATATATGAAATCTAGCACAGATGCATTATTCTTACTGCATGCCAATTGGTATTGAAAAAGAGCAAAATTAACTGGTAAGAGAAATGGTAACACTTGCTTGAAGAAATTATATGATTTTAATTTTAAGCATAAATTTTGCAAAAAATAATTTTATTAAAAATGTCTTTTTAATTACTTAATGTCACTCTCCAAGTACATGTCTGGTAGCAAAGCTTTTGCTGGCAAAAATGTAGTGAGAGAATGAAATAGGGCACAATACAAAACTAAAATCTTTTAAAATAAAGAAATTTGGGAACAAAATCCTAAAATAGGTTCGGTCCGGTCCGCTTATTTTGCATAAAAATTAAATTCACAAAATTTAAAGTTGGATTTCTTCGAGTGTTCTATGAGATGAAATTGTTAAATATTTCAAGATTTCCAAAAACAAATTGGATCTAATAAAGCTTCTTTTCAGGCTTAAATTTAATCCGCAATCAACGTTAAAGATCATAGAAATTGTTGATGTATAAAATGAATAACTTTACCAACCGTAGAACTCAATTTAATTTGTAACATTTCCAATAATAATTTTAATTAAATTATAATTAAACAATTTCAGAAAATTCCCAAATTACGAAAATTTTTAATTAATTAAATATTTTAATTTAATATGAAGAAGAAGATTTTTGACAATAAAAATGCAAAATTGCGTTTATTTCATGTTTTAAATAAATTATTAATATAATTAAATTAATGTAGAGAAATTTTATTAAATTTATGCATTGTGTTAATATTCTGGCTTTAGTTTCAATCAATTATGGACAAAATATTATTAAATTATTAATTAGAAACGAACTTATTGTGTCTCAAATAGAGATTTATTAACAATAATATTTTCGTTCAATTAATGAGTAGATTATATTCTAAATTATTTTCTAGTAAGAGTTTGAATTGAACACAGTACGAAATTATATTCTATAGTGTGGCTCTAATAACTTACATGCATTGAGGATCTCATATTTATTTTCGATATGACAGTATAAAATCATCTATTGCTAGAGTATTGGTTGACAACATTATATACCCAACCAATGTTATATTCATATAGAATTTTATATAATCTTAAAAGGAACGTGAATCAAATTAAAAACAATAATTAATATTAATGCCCCCATGTACCTTCATAGTTTATAACATAATAATTACATTATAATTATAATCTTTCAATTATTATGTGTATGACAAGTAAACACATTATTATGTTTTTGCAATATAAATCAATAATTTTAATTAATATTTTAAATCGTGTGTGATTCTCATTAATCACCTTTTCCCAAATGTACCCACCTACACATGAATTTGAAAAATAATTTGAAATTATTATTTTATTAATATTTAATTAATAATTTTTCTTTTCTATATAGTTTTACAATAGCTATATTTAATAATGTACTTTAAAAAATTATGTCAAAAATTATTATAATGCTTTGCAATCTTTCCAAAAAAAAAATTGAAAGTTTCACTCTGTCCGTCCGTCAATTCGTCCGTGGACATGTTTATAAAACTTCTGCACCCGTAAAAATAGAAACCTGAAATTTCATACGTACATAGAAATTAAGAACAAGAAAATTTTTACCTATCTCCACCTGATTCCTCTCTAAAAGTTATAATCACATTTTTTTAATTCTGCAAACAGAAAAAGGTTGTAGTGTTGTCTCTTTCAACCGTGGCATAGCTTTGTTGAATTCTTAAAAAAAAACAAAATCCATTCTTTCCAAAATTTTGATACAGATTTTCTTCTAGACGATAAGCTATACGAGTCGGAAATTTTAATAAGTTTTAGACAAAAAAGGGTAGTTCGTTTTTCTGTAAGAAAATTTTTATCTAATTCGAAGCCCTCTCAAGATATTATCCGCCGAAATTTGTAAAATTTTAATTTTCTAAAACGGCAAACTTTGTCAAATTGGTAAAAAAGTAGAAAGCTAACGGTAAATTTCCTGCTATCAAAAAGTGTAATTTTTTTTCTTGCTTAACCGTCCAATTTAGCATTTTTGCTCATCCCAAATGTATGCAATAAATCGGTAAATGAATAATAGAAAAATAATTGTCATATCTTGTGATTAAAACTAATATTTTCACTTGTTTAAGGGTAAAGTGCTTCCTTACAAGGCATTGGTTTGACCCGATTTTATTTTCTTTTAATACAATATAAATTAATTATTTTATATTATTTTATTTGTACAATGTGTTCTTTCTTCTTTAACACACAATATGAAATTTAATTGGTATTTAAAATTTTATTGTTAAATTAATATTGTTGAAACAATAATTATAATAATTGGTATTATATTTCAAAAAAAAAATATTATTTAAAAATTATAAATATTTTTATTAGAATTATTTAATTACGAAATATTTATGAATAATACGTGAAATTCAAAAATCATGTATGTATATAAAAAGACGATTTTTTTTCATTTCTCGTGATTATTTAAAAATAATTAATGTAGGATTTGCAGGTTATTGTATATAATTTTTAATTAAATACACGAACAATGTTATTAATTACCATTAATTAAAAATTAACCAATTTATAATTGCCATGGTTATAATTTTTGAACCACCATTTTGGTTTCCAAATTCTCAAAATTTCACTTTAAAACTATTGAAAAACATTATTATATAGGGCTATGATAAATTTCAAGTCATTTTTAAATAAAATAAGTTAAAATGCCTTTTGAATGGAATGACAGAATATGTGAATACGTATTAAGGAAACACGTGCAAGTGTGCAGTATACATAATACGGACGTCTTTCGCATGTATTTTTAATCCATGTAGTACCATGAAGCCGAATTGTAAAAGTACTGCGTCATATAAGTCATTCATGTTTAAGAAATAAAAGCAAGGCATTTAAAATTAAAATAATAAATTTTTTAGCTAACTTATGGCACAACAAATGTTTAATTCGCTTAATGGAATTCGCTAAATGAAATTCGTTTAATAGGATTCGCTTAATGAAATTCGCTTAACAGAATTCGCTTAATGAAATTCGTTTAATTAGATTCGCTTAGTCGAATTCGCTTAATAAAATTCGCTTAATAAAATTCGCTTAATGAAATTCGTTTAACAAAATTCGCTTGGTAAAATTCGCTTAATCGAATTCGTTTAATCGAATTCGCTTAATGGAATTCGATTAATGGAACTCGCTTAATTGAATTCACTTAATTAAATTCATTAAACGGAATTCGATTAATGGAATTCATTGAAAGGAATTCGCTTAATCGAATTCGCTTAATGAAATTCGCTTAATGGAATTTACCTAATATGAATTCGCTTAATATGAATTTTAATTAATAATAAATAAATTGGCCATGAATGATTATGTCATGAAATATTTTATTTAGTTTTATTATTTAATTAATTATTATAACAAAATTTTGAATCCCAATCATTGAATTCCAATTTTTCATTATTTTTATTTTAGAATTTTAATAAATGACAATTGTTAATTTCAAATTGTAATACAAGTG